ACACGTTCAAGGACTACTGAATCAGTTGCTATTGTTTACCAACTTCGGAAGCCTTGTCAGTTCCACAGACAATGAGATTTAAAGGCGGTTCACAGAGCACGTAATACCGGTATGTAAAGTTCGTCTTGACAAGTCCCGCAATACAGCGTGTAAGGCAGATTGAAATGACATCTTTACAACGTTAACACTTGTGCATGGTGGTGTCTGAATAGATGGGAAACATGGATTTTCCATTAAGTGTACTCAACAAAGGTAAAGTTTCTTTCTGGAGCCAGACATCCACAACAAAGTTCACTTGTCATTCTTGGTGCCGTGTGATAAGAACAAAAGTTGTGGAAGGTTGTATGTCAATCTGCGGATTGCGCGGTAGAGAAGTGTTTCATCGAACCATCAGTAGCACGCACCGAAATGCTACTACCACACTACCCTGCAGTGGGAATCCACCACATCACCCTTATCATCTTCTTGGAATTCAGTTTGGCAGCACCGCCATATAACACACCTAATACCAGCCGAAAAGTCCTTGTGAAACGAGAAAGAGGGGGCCGCATATTTAGCTTGCTAAAAACCCATCGTTGAAGAGTCAGGGAGTCTGTAAACTTATGAAGAAGCCTAAGTACAAGTCATGCAACAAAAAAGAAAAAATGTCACCAGACGGGAATCGTCCACACAGTAATGTAGCCTATGACGGTAATAGTAGGGAATCGTTTAGGTCCTATTAGTTGTTAACCATCTCAAATCCCCATTAAATATTAGTGACTCGAGTTGGAATGCTAGCGAGACGGCTCAAGTGCTTAGAGCGAGAATCTACTGAACGGAAGGTCTGTGGTTCGAACCCGGCCTTTGTCTCTCGACTTTCCCTGTTTGGCTTGGGCAACCTGGCAGCATCCCAGCCTTCGTGCTTCCTTTGGGTGGCATGACAACTAGGCACCGAAAGGGTGTTACAGCTGAATGATTGTTATTTGTTTGTCATTTATTCCTGTCGAGATCCTGCGAACTTGTATCGGCCCTTCAACTAATCCCATGAACTGGATCGAATACCCGAGTATTCTCTCTGCATCATGACACTCATAGGCAATGACAAGTTTCAGGACCTGGGTTCTTTCGGTCCCGTTCGACTATTGTACAACAGTTTAGTGCTAATGATATCATAATAACATCACACATCCAGTCTGCATTTTGTGTAGGCGAAGCGACGCGGCCGTTTACAACCAAACATCTATTTTCTAAATGCTCGACTCACTGTCGAAGGAACGAAAATCTGCACACCATACTGTGCCCAACGAACCTTAAGCTCCCGCATGCTCACTGGTGGTCTACAAAATAAATAAGGTTTCGCCTTGTGATAGGCAAGTCAATCAACCGTTTAAGTGGAATGACTGACGGTTAAAAAGTGTCATATCGTAGTTCCAGCCAAGGGGGCAAACAAACCTGACAAACTGAACGTAGTTCGACTTTCGCCCTATCAAACATGATGCCTAGCATCACGGGGATAGACATGGACGAAAGAAACTTTTCCTATGCTAAGACCCGTAACCAAAGTTGTACATCCAAGCATTCAGAATGCACACACAACAGATGGCAAAGTGAAGGCTGTGGGGGGAAGTGAAGTAGAAAAGCGACAACATAATGAGGACTAACAGACAAGTGGATGGCCCCTTGAGATTAATGGACAACATCGGCTACAAGCAGTGACGAACCGGCGAACCACAAGCAATCACCCTATCAGTAAGCTTAAACGGGGAAGCCAAACCACCATCAAGAACTAAAAGCTAGAATAGTCGAGGAGAAACCACAAGAGAGTAGAAGTTTTTTCAAGAGAAACTGACCGAAATATACCGACTGATTGCACAAGACAAAGATGCATTGTCTGATTTTATTTTCGTGAATCGTAAATCATGAATCCTTGATAGTTCCGTAAAACAGGCTCTTCTGTTTGAACACGCAGTGCCAACAACAAAATGTAGGAACTAACGTAAATACAAATGCATGAAATCTGGTTCTCTAGGCTTTTTTTAGCTCTGATTTCCATTCTTTGGTGGTCACCAAATCTTAAGAAAAACCCAATGCGAAACTAAGACAGCTGGAAACCGAGCAAACTAGCCTCATACATAAACAAAAATACTTCAGTTAGTAAGGAATTTGCCAGTACTTACGTACCTAATAACCGGTAAGAGCTGAAACGAGGTCATCCTTCCGCGTGATTTGTCACATTCACGTTATGCAATAAATAATTGCCTTTCCTACACTTGTTTTGCAACCACAAAGTTATGCGGGTAAATTCAACTGCAGTGACCACGACGTCATACCATCTTATTACTTTTTCCAACGTTAGGGGTCGACATTAGATGACCTGAGATTACGTTTATCTTCCTAAAGTCATAAGTGAGGGCAATTGATATCCAATAAAGAAGAGTATCGAGTAGCACTATATAAATGTTGAAAGCCGTTGTAATCGTGAAAATAATGACGCGTGACGACACGGACAGGTGGCTGACCGCCAGACGACAGATGATTAATCAGCCCTGACGTTTATACTGACTAGCTGCTAGGGTGAATAACAGAAGACGACGGCGATGATCTATACTTTTCGTGTTCCAAGTTCCAGTGAAAAAGTTTTCCATGAATCTGCTTCCGAACAGTCTGGGAATAGGTTTGGTCTTGCATTCTATTCAAATTTCCACCACAAAAATGGCGATAGAAGGCAGCCAAATCCGAAGAAATTGCCTGATTCCTAACCTGCACATCTAGTTTCCTTATGGCAATGATAACCATGGTAAGTTGCTGATGGCGCTCGTCTTCAATGCTAGACATTCTCCTGTAGCCCTACTGAGACCCATGGGAATAATCTAGAAAAATAGTTGAGTAAAAGCACAAGATGACGGAGTGAGTATCGCAACAGTCTTCAAAACTGTCAGCTGCCGTACTAGGTGGAAAATCCATGATCTACATGCCTTCCTGGCTATTTCAAGTTTTGATCCCATCGGGCGATTGTCGAAAGCTGAAAACTTAACAAGCGGTATGCAGCCATATTATTAATTCGGAAATCATCGGTGATATGAAGATGAGGGTTTGAACAGTGAGCTGCTCAGCAGACGACTAACTTATACATCAGCATGATACAGAAACTCGGTTGCTGTCACACGAGTACACAACCTCACCGGAAACAGCTCGACCGCCACCGACTCAGCAGCGAGACAAGAAATAAAGCTGACTGATTTAGACTGCTACTGTGTCACGACGGTAGATGTAGGAAAGGTTCGGGAGTACAGTCAGGTGAAGCAGAGTTCCAATGTTTGGACTCCAACACACTCAGTGCTGATGTGCTATGACAACAGAGGACCACGACAAGCCAACTGTCAGGATACCATTTTATAGTTTCAGCGAGGTTTCCACGTTGCTTGAAATACCAACGAGGCAGCCTTCAGAACTATGCAATGGAAAATGCACTATTGCAAGTTACTTGAGTATCGGGTTTGTTTACCGGTGTGGGTTCAGGTAAGCAAGTCAAGTGCGCTTCACTCCCCAAGTTGTCATGGCAACAGCGAAAGAGCGAGGCTATTTGCTCACGTGATTTTGAAGAGGAAAAATGCACACGGACAGACTGTTTTATTTACACCTTGTATGAACACAGTACGAAGCCGCCCAGAAGTTACTTGCTACTCAATAGGCTCAACTGGGGCGCATAAAAAGGGGAGGCGGTTACGAAATTTAGAACGTTTCCAAGTTGTAGTTCCTGAGAGGGCTCACTAACATATCCGAGACGACCAGAACGCAAACGATGCGGTAATCACCACCCAAGTGCTCAGATAGCCTATCTGAAACGTCCAGAAAAGGCGTAGTTGGTGATAATCAAATAGAAATCTATGATACGCTATTAGCTTATAGGTTTTTCCCCTAATTTCTTCGCATGATTGGACGCAGCATTGCAGTATGTTCATCACGACCGTTAGAGTTTATGAGAAAATGCCAAAATGATACCACTCCCAAGGGAGTAGAAATAAGATGCAGAGTTGATTCTAGGTCAGAAAGAAAAGTTTCACAGCCGCAATACATCCGTAAGTTCACTTGCGAAACTAAGAAAACTACGGGGATCGTTTACATAAACGGCTCTATTTTACCGTGTCTGTTGCTTCGGAAGGAGCCCGGTTCACTTACGCCTCCGTAGAACTCATTTCTCGGTCCTGATGACAAAAAATAATGTTGACAGCGCGAATGGTTGCTTTATGCGCTCCAGTTGGGTTCACGTTCAGCATTTTGTTTCTACATCGAGCTGATAGCATTGTATGTTCGGAGATGGTGGGTAAACAACACAGAAAGGATGTCATCGAAAGTTCATGTCGTTCTCGGGTCAGGTAAAGACATCGTTGGTGTTCGCAATCTGATTCCTCATTCATCTTGCCCTACACAGTGGCAAAAAACTGCCGCGGGGATAATACCGCAGTGCCTGTGTGCGTTCTATCGCGCAGGCAGGCATGCTCTCTCTAGCTTGATGCACATGTGGGCAGTCCGACAATGGGAGGAAGACACGGGAGGTGGTAATTCGTGCAAGCCTTTGTTTAACATGCCGGTTTAGTTGCATTCCCTCAGTGGGTGGTGGTGAGGTCAGGCCAAATGGGAATGAGTTCATTGAATCGGACACAATGAGGAATGGAGAGATTGTGACAAGGGTCACATGGTACAGCCACATGTCAATCAAAGACGCTTGTCGCATGGGAAAACCGGTGTTCTCGACCTTATGCACAGAACAAGTCTGCTAATTATATATGCCCAATACCGCTAGCATGTGTTCAGTCTGGTTAGCTTTTATACAATGTGGGACATTCACCATGACCAGTGAAATAAAGCGATTAGGATGTCTGTCACAATCTGTCCGCCCGATCGATGTAGGAATCGTCGGAAACCAAGGAAGCCTGTATCCCATAACTAAGACCCTCAGTCATTTTCTCCAAATGAAAAAGAAAAGAAATAATACACGGGAGCCTATGGACCGAACTTACCGTGCAAACATGTCGCGAAGTTGACAAGGTGATTTCATAGGGGTTGCATGCCGCACGCAAAGAATGATGACCTGAATGTGAATGGTTTGTCCCTGAGCTTTTTGTATCCAGCTCACGATTAGCATCCATCATACGATGTTCGCTGAAAGAATCGTTGAAATTTTGCATAGCAGCAGAGGGGACCAGTTGGTCCGCGTTGGGTGATGGAGAGGTAAAACTGAGACAGGTCGAAGAGGCTCCACCATGGTGTGAAGACCCGAGATGTGCGTTTGGCTGTTCGACCAATCTCAGTGTGGCCAAATCTTGGTCCGACGTTGGGGTGAGGCGACTATATGGTACATAAACAGGCAACCGGAGCGTAGCCGTCGGGTTGGATGTAAGTGGATCACTTGGCGACGAAGCCAGGGTTTGATCTGGATAGAAAGTTAGTGGCTGACCAGCTGGATAACACATGGCTGGGGACGGAGCCCAACCGATCAGTTGTGCTGATTCTGTCCCACCGTTTGCTGCTCCAAAATATGACCCGGGAGCGTTGGTTTGGTAGTTCAGCTTCAACACATCCAGATCGGACGGCGTAGGGCTCACACCCATCATATATCCTGTGCTATCGACTGGGTATCCGTAGTCGTGCTTCAATGGAAAGTGTACCCCCTCAGCACCGTCGCCGGAATCTCGTCCTGGTCGGAAGCCGTTTGGTCGGGTACGATCATGGGAACCGTGAGAAGCTCGAAGTGAGAACGAACGCCTTCGGACGCAGATGATTGCAATAACCAGGCAGATGGAGATCAAGCCTGTTACACCAACCATCACAACGATGATCATAAAGTTCAATCCTGCACTGACGACCGTGTCAGTGCTGAACACGTTAACCTATGAATGGAGAAGGCCAAATGAATAAAAGAACAGGAAGAAATGCTAACAGAACAAAATCAACATGGAATATTTGCCTAAAATGACCTCACAACGCGCGCCTCCGTTTGCAGATTGTGCTGCTAACGGCGAAGGTTTATACGCCGATTACCATCATACCCTCAGTAACGCACAAACTGATTCACGCAATGAGATGATTAGCAAAAATGGTTTTCATCTACCAACGAGTGAGTATGAACGTCCAAACTTATATGGCCTTCTACTACCATCACGGGCGTTGTGCTATCGATCCTTTCATACACAACGAACTGTGCCTACGCTCTGACCTTGGTAGCAAGCCTATCTTTGGTGTGTACTTCAGGCTCGATTGCGACGAACGGAACAAACAAATTGTGAAATGGAGCATCAAACCTAAAAAAGACAGTCTTACTACTTAGGAGTGTTTAAACGGGCTACAATGGTGAACAAACGCCATTCCCTTATTTTCAAAAGCATATGGAGCAAACCAACACACGTAAATTAGCCGATCCAATACAGATATAGAACGGCTCTAGTAGGAGAAACATTATATTGACCTACTATCCAGATTACTGTCACGCACTGGCGATACCGAATGCTTAGCTTTGGTGTTCAGTAAATTCAAGTGAAATTTTTACCGATGTGGACACAGATCAAAGAACTAATTGAGAGAGCACTTTGTGGTGCCTCGCACACACATCCACCTCCAAGAAAGGACACCGGCTTCAATCCTATCTTTCGGTGAATCATGTACTACATGAACATCAGTTGGCATTCATGGGATCGGGGTATTCTCGGGAAGATCTCTCCAAAGGGAAGTTCTGCATAGTTCACAAGAGAATAGTTCCAGCACTTACTTTTTCTGATCGTCCAGCTAGTACCCAGGAGCAAATACAGGCGGACTATTCTTTTTAGAAGCAGTAGGGTATGGAGTAGGTGCAACTGCGTATTGACACATTTAGTGGTTAAAAGCTCCAGACGATCTCGATCACCATAGCAAATATCACTGACACCTGGGTCAGTGTCAGATGGCACATTTCGCCAAGTGAAAATTCAGTGAGCCAGGAGAGCCGCATGTAATCGGCGTGTTAAATGAAAGCAGTATTTGAGTTTGAGGAATAAATTCTGGGTTCCAGAGGCGGATGGGTGTCTAGAAGACGGATAGCAAGGATTCTAATTGACGTAATCTTCTGTGTTATGACGCACATCTGGCAAATCAGCCAGGTGTCATGCATACTCGAAATGTAATCGAATGGCCTGAAGACGATGGCTTCAGGGGGTTGCTTTGTGCTGCCAAGATGAGACCACTGTTGTGTTCGAAAATAGGGGCGTCCTCAAAAGTTCATCGAGTCATCACACCGACGGAGTTATTGAAACGATCCTTCAATCAACCTTCGGAATTTTTTCACCTGGTCACGGCAGGAAATCATGCATTCAGTACCACGCGGCCAGTGGCTTCGAGTGATTGGAGCGTTGTAATGCTCACCACCACACTCGAAAACGTAGCAGTTGTAAGGTATATTGGTAAAAGTGTTTTTTTTCGCTAGAGAAAACGTCCAGTACTAGCGAGTTCGGACTAGAGGCCACCGGTTACACAACGCACCTCAGATAGGACATACGTGTGATTTGTCTCAAGCGTTCTAAGCTTCAACCGCGGTCACAACTCAATAACACTGGCTTTTGAGAATTCCCCTTAACTACAATAAATTTTCTGACTTCATCAGTCCGAGAAATCATCGAATATAGCCAGTACTTTACAATTTTTAATCAGAACTTAGCTTGGACTCCAGGAGAAAGGAAGATTGCTCATTAGATGGTACATGAATAAAATGACAGCTACGAAGGAAACATAAAATCACAAGACAAGTTTAAGCTGACTGAAGCAGATTCTAGCTCGAGCACTCAAACAGTACAAAGCCATCAGTGTCCCGGACTCAGTGTTCACAGTAACTCTCCACTGAGGACATCACTAGGGATTCGTTTTGCTTTAAAGAATTACTCCAGTAACCCCTTTGTGTCCAATCAGACAGGTGGATTCATAGAGATCAAATGTGTTTGGTCATTTGAGAGTAACTGCTCCTTCCAATAATGACCCCAGTTTATTGCTGTAGTCCACGAGGAGGACAGCCATGGTTGTTCTTCAAACAATTTCTGCTCCCGATGTAGACAACCAGTTTAATTGTTATCTTGAGCGTGCACGCGACGAATGGGTGGATTTGTTCGAACATTTGGTTGCCTCGATGTGTGAACTGAAGAGCTTTTCTCATTATTCCAAGCAAACCGAATAACCGGTATGAGGTACTTGCCAGTGTGTCTAATAGGAAACATGGTCAGCTTAGAGCCAACCAAACTAATTCAAAAAGCTAACGCGTTCACCGTTATTACCACTAGTTCGTCATTTGTAAAGGGCGGTGCACCTTTACTGGCCACGATTGCAGCTTGCTCTCTCGTCGCTGATGGGCATCGACATGCCACTCTTCACGCGCCCGATGTATCCTGAAAGTTAGCCTTGCCTTTTGTGGTTCAGGCATGCAAAAGGATGACAGCTAAGTTGGTAACCATGCCAATAGTCAGGACTGTGTGAACTGTCGTCCTGAAGAGACGACTGCTTCTGCCTGACCTTTGTGGACAAGTAAACATGTCGACCAGGTTGCATCTTGACATTTCTGCTTGTCGCACATTGGTGTATGCAGGCATATGTGTCCATACAGACACAAACATGCGACGATCGCAAGTTAAGTGGTAACGTGTGGTGTGCTTAGTCTGATGTATGTATACGTTTGCAAGCACAGAATACCCAGTCCGTTACTGATTGTCAAACATGTAAATTGGATAAGCAGTCACTCCGATGTCATGATATGATGGCATTATGAATTCAACATAGTTCCTAATTAATTATGCGTGACCCAGCTCTCTCTGTCAACCACCACTCTCATCCCGATACATTTGGAAAGGAACCTCTAACAAATTTGAAAAACGTGATCTTCAAGTTCTCTCTGTTGGCCATACGGTCACTCCTCACACACCTGCAGCCATACAGATTTCCATTATTCTTTTCCATAGAATGGACAGCTGTCTGCCAACCAGCTGTGATTAGAAAGGTCGCTTGATGTGCATGTGTTTACACCATGTCATTTACATATGACGGAAGACTTCAATGGACATTCTGCCCAAGGTACACATACGGCATGAGCCTGTGCAGAGCAGGAAAAGAGATAACTGAAGAACAAGTTATATGAAGCCATTCGACGTATCGAGTTTTCCAGCTCCCTTCCGGGGTCCAGAAGATGAGTCCGATACAGCGGCAAGCAAGTAGGAACCAGCCTTGGCTCGTCCAGTGAACCACAGTTCCCATTTTGAGGTGCTAGGCAGGCCACCACGTAAGTCTGAACAAGCCTTATGCGGAGAGACTACTATCCAGGAGATACCAGAAACTCAGTAGATCGATTAAGCTGACATGTTACAATAATATAAACTCACACTCAACTACGGTTCACAACACGCTTCCTGAGCAACCGCACACTAAATGCGGATGTCAGTAGTGCAGAGATTGCTTGGTGGGACCAGACAAAATTGGTACCCGGTGGTCCAACTAAGGGGAAAAACATTCAAGCATCAATCGAAAATGATAGCCTTCATGGAACAGTCTATTTTGAAGATGGCTTTGCTGGAGGAAGTGTACTCCATGTAAATGCGATGACCTAACCCGCTTCAAAAGCACTGTACCTTACGTTCTTACAGCGATTGCCAAATAGCCCTGAACAATTCCAACAGACTCAGTTGATGCTCCTAACGACCACGCGTGTGTTGATTGCACCGGGCCAACAGCCTCCACATGGTCAGTACGACTTTGCGAACCGCTGTAGGCCCGGAAAACGGTTTAATCTAAGGAGTAGGATCAAACTACTTCCAATACGATATTTAGCGTATTCTTAATGCTTTCTCCGGGACAGTTATCCCTTTGCCCTGACACGATTATTATGGTTTACATGCATCATTTTTTCCAATCTCTTACATACCGTGCCAGGTAAACATTCACTATGTTTTGCTGATCCACAACAAAGTATTTCAAATAATACGAAACCATTCAGTAGTCAGCAGAAATGAGTTTTTTTACCAATTCGTCACCATTATGTAGTCGATCTGAGAAAAGGGCAGTTAGCAGGACATCTATATCTTGACTAGTTCAAAGAAACTATGAAAGAGATTTTCTATTTTAGCCGCTAACTTGGTTCCAGTCTTTCCTCTGCTCCAATTTTTTTGGGTCTGATTGGCACAAGTACGCCGGCACAAAAGAGTGGTGCACAGCTAACCTCATCTGAGCCGAAATTTTCCATCTTGTAATTTGTATCCCAATTTGACCAAGAAGCCAAACAATGCACGAATAAACTCAATCAAAATGATGTGGCAACAAGGACAGCTGGACCACGAGTGTAACGTTTTCAGCTGACGACGATGAGCATTGTGTTCAAAGCGGTTGGCGGTATGTGTAACTTTGGATACAATTTCGAAGAAGACGAAACCAACGACGCGATATTCTACTTAATGTATGTAATTCTGATAAACAGGTGCACAGGCCGTGACAAGTGTCGAACGATGCTTAATTCCCTCAAACTGCGGAGTACATTAGGGCGAATTGTGGAAGTTTCGGTGGACAACACCAACACGATGGTCCGAAAAGACGACCGTCGGGTACCTGGTGCCTTTACAAATGATATGATGGTCCTTCATCCGGCTATCTAAGCATTTGTCAGCTTTCCGTTTGCATCATTTACCTGTTGATCATCGTATCATAAGGTTGCTCTCTCGAGGTCGTGACTTGACGATGAACACGGAATCACCGCCAATAAGTGAACATTTCGGATGGTAGATTTACTGACTTGTTTGAGGCCGTTTGCGGCTCAGCTCCTGCGGTGAGTATACCGGAAACGTGGCCCATCGCTACAACTGCCATTCAGAGCCATCACATGCATTCTAACCAAACAAGCAAAATAAAGACGCCAGGTTGGGCGTAAATTAATTCAAAGGTTGGATTATCAGGGCCAATACTCATTACTCCATCATTTCTCGCTTTCGAATTGTGTGCTAACATCCCTTGTTTTCAATCTCTCAGTTGAGAACCATTGGTACGCCAAAGCAGGGGAGCATCAAATTGGAGTTCCGCTCCTACTGGAGCGCGTCGACAGTGCTCAGACTTGGTGACGCCGTGAATCAAACTCAGGATATGAGACAAGCGCCTTACTCCGGCAGCACGTGCATCTGAATTTTCACATCTGAACCGGCAATCATGTTTCGCGCTTGAGCGATGCGACTTTTATTGATCTTTTTATTGATTTTTTAAGTTGATCTCTGCTATAGAGAATCACTGTATGTCCAACTGATGAAGTAAATTAGAACGAGAGGTTAACATATCATGGATACTCCATCCTGACGAGCGGTAAAAAAGGCTTTATCGACCTGCGTTTGTAAGGGACTGGGTGGTACACTTACACGGCACTTCCATCCGACATCGGCCGAAAAGCTTTCTCAAAATGGGTCTACTACGGCGCAATGATAATAGCGTGAATTTCGTTTTTGTAAATTCTTTGGAAAAAGCTAGCATAAGCTCGAAAGCCCAGTAGTCACGTTTCCGTTCTTCCGAACAATCTGGGTGAAAACCAGACAATAAGATCGGTACAGCGTCTTGCAAGAAAAAGACAAATGAACAAAGAAAGTGCCCGGTTGTTCATTTGTGAAATAGACCACAATGAGGGCGATTCGAGAGACCGCCTTGTTGGTAGCAGAATTAAATAGAGATTAATCGTTTTTATTCTGCAACACATTGATAGACGAAGTCACAAACGCACCAAACGAACTGAAATACTCGCACACCGTGCAATATTACTCATTCGTCAGCTTGGAGCAGATACGATCAAGAGCAGTCACCATAATTAATCAACGTGTGGTAGGAGTCTGAGTATCATCTACTGATTTATCTGATACGACTTTTTCCAGGCAACTTTACTTCCTTCCTTTTGTCATCATCGTGTGGTTGCGACAGAGATCGCATTCGAGCTTCCAGGAAAATTCTCGACCCAACAAACTCGGACCTATTGTTAATCTCGATAAGCAACTGACATTTTTGTTCACTGCATATGTGGACAACTTTAATGCAAGAGAAGATGTGATCGTCGAAAAGATGCCAGCCAGACATCTGGGGGCCTTAATTACTGATTACAAACGATCCCACTTTGTTGGAAAGTCGGTTTGTGCAACTCGACAGCGATTGCCTGCATCTAGCAGAAACTATGATTGGTCCCATTTAGAAGGAACACAGTACCCATAGAGTTGCTGAAAACCCTGACAGCCCACTCTATTTGGATCTCAACAGACAGGCGCAGCCCGCGAGTTTCCACCAACCTCATGTTCGACTTGACACCGAATTGGTTGCAGTTCGCGAACTACATCTATTTGCAAACTAGTTTGGTTTTAACGGGAAACTCAACTGAATTCCAGCTGAATCTCTAGTTTCTGATAGTCTTCAGCTGAACGTGCTGCAACAAAAACGCCTTATGTTCCCATAATCGTTTACTTGAAGACAAGTGGATATATGATGTGAGGGCGAAAACAGATGTTATTGAAGAAAATCCGCCAGATTTTCCACCATACGACTCACAGTGTGGTAAACAGACGGTCGCAATTTCTAAGCAACGTGTAAGGTCCAGATGTTCAATAGGTGTAAAAAGTACCACAGTATGGATGAAAAATACAAAACCATCATGCCATATAGGGCAACTGAATGAAGTCCATTTGGGTTTAAAGTCGGAAGGAAATGAGATAAGCAACAGTGCCGACGTGGGGTTTTTCGCCGTAGGAATGAAAGTCCCTCAAATAAACTAATCTTACTTCACGATCTATCTGCACGTACTAAAATGGTAAAAACTGTCAAAATGACATGAGGCCTACAGTCGCATTTATCGTAATCGATAGGGTGAAGGAGGCAGTAAAACGGTGTTTATGGTTCAACCTTGGTGGACCATATTAGCACACCTTAGGGCTTGTGGAAGGTGGGTAGAACTCGCTTCACGTTAACTGGCATCTTTTGGTTTGCATCCATCGCGTGCTGTATGTGATAACGTGTTTGACATCAAAAGTTACTAACGTTAATTCACCATTTTTTTTTCAAATAAACCAATAAGATGGCTAAGATGACTAATTAATAGATTGTAAGTAAAACGAAGCATTCACTTGGAGAATTCGGTTGTGAGGATGGAGTTTTAACTTGTCCTGCTTTTTCTGTACTAGCCAGATTAAAAAAAATCGTTCAGCTGCAGCACCACTTCAATGCCTAGCTGCCATGCCACACGAAGGAGGCCGAGGGCTGGGGATACTGCCAGATTGCCCAAGCCTAGAATGGGGAAGTCGAGGGGCAGAGGTCGGGTTCGAACCACGGACCTTCCGGTCAGTAAATTGTCGTTCTAAGCACTTCAGACATCTCACCCCTGATATACGAATAATGGTAGTTGATGCTCGAACTGCGTGCAAGTACAAATTTTCGGCAATGAAGCCCGTCAGCCTGGTGCAAACATTGAACAATAAATCGCATCTATCTGGACTAATTGTGTATGCATGGAAAGGAAGAGGCTCTTACCTGTAGCCATGTTTCTGCCACTTGTTGTGGATGACCTTGGTCGGAAGCTCGCAGACGCAGTCGATAGATTCCTGGCAGAAGTGGACTCGGTTTATTTGCATTTGACTGAAAATTTGTTTCACTCGGCGCAGCTGGATTAGATTGAGCGACGGCAATATCTCCAGTTTTGTTATCAACCTGTGCAACGGAATGTGGTAAAGTTGGTTGGGTGTTTGACTACGCTCGGTATAGATAAAGGCAATGCTTAGACAACAGGTTAATTGGTTTGTGTTTACTCTAACAACCTAGAAGAAGTGTTCTGTTTTCACCGTTAAATGAGCCATTGTTCAACTGGATATCGTGCTTCAATATTAAATGTTAGAAATACAATACGCCCACCCTTTAGAAGAGAGAAACAGTGCAGACTTCCTCACAAGACCTGGAGTGAGGACCCACCACTCGAAATAAGCCAAGTACCTCTGCTTGATGACCTCTGTTAGCAAGATTCCTTGTTGCCAAAGTAGGCGAAAAATGAAAAAAGGATCATATTGCTATTCGTTCATTACCTGAATATATCAAAATCTTTTATATTGTCAAAGCATAATGCAGGGAGATGTACAAGTATAAACTCAACACTTCCGGATTACACACAAGTGGGCTGCGTGACAATGATTGTAGTGTTAAATCCAAACAGATTCGGTTAAAGTAAACTGGTCAGTGTCCAGTCTGAAGGCGAACCATAAAAACCCAAAATATAATGCCACGTTGCCGGAGCAACAAAGACGGAGCTTCATTTAGACCGAACCTGCGTTACAAAAGCCATGTTTTGGTGGTAATCTGAGTCTGATGTTGTAGTGGAACCATCGAAGTAGAGTAAGTGGCACGTGCAACCCAATCGACACGAATAACGCGATCAAGCCGGTCGAATCATCCGACATGATCTGTTGATTACCACCCAATAATTCCAAGGTTATTCGTCAGAACGTATTCGCAACAGCCGAAGTGATTCCTACGTTAATAACCCGTGTCATCAAAAACGCCGACAGAAATACCGACTTTAATTCCTATTTCATCGGTTCCAAACAACTAAATGTAGAAGCATATCCTCACATCTAACCGGCTTCCTGTCACTCACGCGTACCATGTTTTATTCCTATTTGAATAGTGCTCACCAAATGAGATCCTACAGAAAACTGCTCCTCGCAAAACCACCTAACCTTGGACACTAATCCATGGGGGTATAATGACAAGTTGAGTACGTTTTTAAGTTAACGCATAGGCAGAATTTCACACTGTTTTACTGACGCGTGCCAAGGCATCTGTACATTGTCAATTTAACGACACGAGCCTTTGAAAGGCAATCGCATTATTACTTCACGTTACTTCAATTCATTAGCATAATTCTTCATAATTCAGCTTTCAGTGCGACCACAAGTTTTTTCAACCATTTGTAAAATGATGATTAGGGAGGCGGCAGCAAGGAGACTACAAATGAAAAATGAACGGTCGCATAATTAGTTCAGCCTCTGTCCATTTGAGTGACTAGTCGAATGCAACACACAAGAAAGACGCTACCCAAACAGAGCGCGACCTCGCAGAGATGAATGCTCTTTTCAGAGAGACCAGATTCCAGCACACTTATGTTCGTTCCAGAGTGAACCTAACTCATGAAAGAACGGTCCTGCATATGTGTGGCTGATACGTGCTTTGTTTAAAGGGATTCAGTCGGCCCATGCTGGAAACTCGTGCACAAGTCAGACACAGATGGGTCAGCCGAAGCTTCAAAACGCAGAGAGAATTGTCGAGTATCCACTTCGCTCACAGTTGAACAGCTGTGTCAGGGCACGGAAATGTTGCTTCAACAGCTGCGTGTGTAACATCTGCTGCCCCTAGCCCATGAACAAAACCTATCCAATAACTCTGTACACTCAAGGCGATAATTACTATTGCTTCGTGGAAACTAATTAATCTTCAAAGCAAGCCAGTGACAGGGATGCAGTCAAGTCAAGCGACTACGAAGTGGGCCCAGTGTAAGCGAAAAGAATTAGATAGTCCGTGGCCCCAGGACAGAGTAACAAACGCGCTCTAATTACCCCCCAGGTATGGGACCGGTCGTACACTATCCGAATGAGTGATGAGAATCAAGTTACTGAATGGAGGAATGTCATCAACTGAATAGTATCAACGGACGTTAGCAACGGCAGTTTACGGTAAAACATGTTTATGCGAATTATCCTGCATGATCAGACCGAATTGGAGGGATGAATCACTAGAAAGCACTTAATTCCTAGTTCTTAGAGAATTTATCCTGAGGAGGAACGAAATTAGGGGGTACAGGAAATACCTCAAAAAGAACACCTGTCCCTCAATAGTATTTCGTTTTGGATTGTCATCTCGTTTGACCGCAGTTCGGTGAGCGACCGCCATTCCCCCCCCCCAATAAAAAATATCACGGGTAACAAACTGAGCAAGGCGGAACCGTGCCACTTATGTAGGTTTGTTAACTGACCTGTGCTACTTTCCTTTAGGAATTTCGCTAAGCTAATCCGCCTCTACTGTTCGGTTAGGTTTGTTCAATATAGCAAGGACAAAGAAACGTGCGTTCACTTTGGCGAGTCCTGCTTGGGCTGAGTGTGCCCAAGTAAGGGATGTGAGGGAAACTATTCATAAACTAGTCAATCGTTGGCCGTGAAATTCCTCGTTTGCGGACGGATGGGTACGGACAGGAAATCTGAATGAAACTCTACCAAATATGCAGTGCACAAGTTGGGTAACGTTCAAGATGTTGGTGTAAAAATTAATACCTATCAGATGATATTGCAGAGGACGCACAGGAAACTATTTTCCGGTTGTTCAAAAACGAGTTCTCGGATTATCAGGGACACTTTCGCATTTCCTGGGTAAAACAAGCAACTCATACGTTAAGTGAGAATCCTTCAACAAGTGATTCAAATGAATTTTTCGTCGATATCATTGTTTTTTTCAAACGAGTGTATTTTGTCAATACTATCCCCAAGTCTTGTTGGTCATCGAAAGTGGTAATCTCACCAACTTGTAATAACCCCCGGCAGGCGATTAGACAAGTGACTCAGAAAGGGTATTGCTTATTGGAGGTACCAATTCACTCGTTTTTTGGTATATTTACCTTCAAATAAACGGCCCTTAAGACCATGAACGAGACATTGGTTTATTTATCCTTCATAGGAAACATGGCAGTGAATATAACTCGGTTTTAGCTGTAGGTGGCGTTGTAGACAAGTGAATAAAGTTCCACTGCTGAAGACAGTGGCATATTACGGTTGCTTATCGACTCCAAGAATCGTGTTTGCTGAAGTATACATGCAGAACTATACAGAACCAAATCAAGCTGGAGAAAAAAAAGTGGTATCATGAAGTGATTCTTGAATCCCCAATTGATACGAGATTTTCCGCCGTTCTGTTCTAGTGACTACCACCCAACCTCTGTGATCCCCATTCGTGTCTGACTGGTTAGCACTAATTTGCTTGTTCGTAATAGCTCCCATTAAAGTGACCGTTCACCGGTATACACTGATATCGTTTCGACGATATGGACTGACGGCTTCATGAAGCTTTTGGGATGACACCAGAACTAAGATGTGAGAATGAGCATGTACCCGGTTTATCATCGCCCATTTGAAGAAATCGAGAGATGCAGTTCATAGCAGACAACCTCTCCTGATGGGAACTAAGTCAACGCATAAGGTATAATTCATCTTCCAGAGGCGTTCTATCGTGTTTCCATTGCATATGAATTTAGTTACTCAATGATGAAGCCGACTAAACAAAGCGTAGCCGATTTTTTCTTTTACCGCATCACGGCTCAAACACATGGGAAACGCGTTCTTGTTTGTCAACAGCGAAAAAACGTATTATGCGGTGTTACCGTTCAGCGGATTGTGTGTAGCCTAGGACGGACCAAAGCTGAGTTTAGTGCAGGAGGCACTATTTGTGAATGTGTAATATAGTATTATATATATATATATATATATAATGTATAGTGCAATGTAGTTGGGATGTCATCGACACAGTTTACGTGGGCACCAAATGGTGTGATGGGAAAATTTACCCAATTTATTACAAACAAAAGTAATATCACTGTGGATGATCGATAAATGAGCAAATTAGTGCGAGTGACTTCAACCGATTTTTTCGACGCAGCTGATAACACGCTCTCAGATTTTGTGAAGGAAAATAGCACACTTACGCCGCTTAATTCTCGAGAATTGCATTCCAAGAGCACTCGTCGGTATGATCGAAAACTGTGCCTAATTGCACAGGTCAAAGACTGAGCCTGAAGCCTAAACACCATCAAAGCTATTCAAGATCAACGTGACACGGTGACCTCAAGATAAATAATGGTATTTTCCTCGTGCTTCTTTGCACGGAACACCGTGCTTTCGTTAAGGTCACAACGGTGCACCACTGCATTATAAGCTTTCTTTTCGCGAGGCTAATGTAACAATTATGTGTTCTCATGAGGTAGGTTAGGTCATTTATGAGTGTTTGGATACACTGCTCGAAACTCTAGAAGGTGAGGAACGCTTCAGCGGCACCTACTGCCTTTAGAAATAATGGACAGAAAATGGAGAAAGCATTCAGGGGAGCAGTTGACACAGTCATACGCTATAAACTGAAATCATCAGGAACGCTGAACAGCATCTCCTATGGTTACGTCACCCGATAGCAACCAATCGTCAAATGAACAGCACTTCCGGATTGTTCATATTCGCACCAATCGCGTTTGAACGGTCGCCCTGTTCTGGCGACATTATTCTGGTGAGTCCATACCAAAGGGAAGCACTGGATTCGAGTTTCGCTCTTACTGGTGCTTATCACCTGTGCATATCCAATGGCCCGGCCGAGATATGAACCCTGGACATCTGATATGCGAGGCGAGCGTGTTCCCAATACTCCACCAACGGATGTTGGACACATTTGAATTTTCACGTCTGAACAAGGGAACGTGTTCACGCTTAAACGATGTGATTGGTGTGCCCGACCCGTCGTATGACGACCCAGTAACTGTCCTGGTTGTAACGATCGATTGACCCACCAGTCAGGACGTCCCAGTCAGGTAGCGTCACAGACGCTTGCAACCCACTGAATTGGTTGTTCTCAATGGCCTCTGAGCAGCTGTTTGAATCCGTTTTTTTTTTCAACGGTCGCTCTATAGCATTAGATTATTTAGATTTTTTATATTTTTGTATTTTACAAGAAAAGGTATCTGAATTCATTATGGCATTCACGTTATGAAACCAACTAACAAAAACATTGCCAGCTATTCAGCATTGAAAAAACGTAAAACTAAATACTGCTGAGAGAAAATCCACCAAAAAGCTGAAGAGTAAAAATGTTCCATAAGGTTCTCCGCTAACGACTGAAGGCTTGTATTCTGAATGGTGAATTTCCGGCCTCCATTGTATAGTCAACCAATAAACTCAGACAAAATATAAGACGATACTCCTTTGATCATGATTATCAAGACGAAGCACTGCGTGTTCAGTTTCTATAGGTCTTTGCGGGCCCGTAGGCTGGCTAAGAGGTTATCCAGAATATATGAATCTTATAGGCAGCCACATCGCACAGAATCCGGAATGACTGGATAAGCTTGGGGCCGCATTTGACTTATGCAGTACAAGGATTCCGAAGGGAAACGACAACTTGTGTAAGGTTGTGTAATCTGACGTCACAATGATCATGGTTCACTTTCATCAAGGAGAAAAATGGAACACTGATCACAACTAGAAAAGCTGTATACGCTTGGACCAAATACTGGCATCTTTGAGGGTGAATAACATCCAAAGCTGGTTGATATCATGGTGTGATCATGGTCCGTGACCTGAATGCTTGACATCGGTGTGTGAGACCGAATAGAAGATGAAGCCACCTGTGCATTTTGACGTGTTTTGGATTGTGGACGCGTTATCGTGCTTATCAGTGCCGACCCAGATCTGCATCACCGCAATTGGTGCTTCGAGGACACCGGTTAATTACGAAGGTCTCAGCATACTGGTATTGCTTGCATGAGGTAAACCCAAGTGGGAAGTCGACAAGATGTTCCTCAGCTAGGACATGAAGAACAATAGGCGAGAATTTGTCTGACTTTCCTACTACTTGGACCTTTTGTACAGCACACTTAGCCCACCTTTAGTGTTCTTCCGTTCATATCCCCAGTTGTCGAGATATTCTATCTACTTAGACTGGCAGGTACCTTGAACAGTGAATCAGGTTAACGCATTTCGTACGTCCTTCCAGAACATGACATTTGGTTCGCACCGAAACTTTTGTAGTGTGACGTCCCTACAAAGCACCTGACAGATGCTGCGACTATATAGTACATTCAGGTTGGCTTGTGCCCTACCGGTGCCATACCGTGGCCGAATATAAAAGCAGTGAGCATCCGAAGAATTTATCTTTCCACTGGAATCCACTTCGCTCATTTGGTACCCAACAAAGCGATTTGGATATTCGTTGTCATGTAGAGAACAGGACTGACGCCATTCTACTCAGGGACGCAACTCTCACTCTTTTGTAAACGATAGTGTCTAGGGTGCTAGAAAATTGACAGTCCAGGAAGCCGACGCTACTGCCCTGCGTTTCGCTAAGGCTATTACATAAGCCGCTCGCCTAAAGTTTTTCTAAAATGACTAATGTAGGTGTGGAAGTGATCGAAAACAATTAATCCAGAGTAGTAGGAAGAAAAATTCACAACGAACGGTTAAACAGGTGTACTCATCGCTACTCGTTAAAATGGAAAAATACATCGCAGAGACATATTACCTCTGTCATCATAGGAAAGGGCAGTCCCCTCATTAACAGAATGTCCATTTTACATCAGTCCACATGCGTACAAGCGGGTATATGGTGCAGAGGACGTGGCATAAAAGGTGATCTTTGCATACGACTGACGGTTGAAGCAGAAAAATCATGATTGTGATTTATATCTGGTATCATGTAGTACTGAAACATCCCGATAGTCTTTGGTTGTACAATCTATGAGGTGGACAGTCGGTCAAAATGATATGTTGGAACTATGGGCCCCCATTGGGTCGTAAAATATCTCATCAGGGTTGGATTAAGAAGTGAGAACAATTCACATGTGTTTGGGTGTGAATTCTCGAAAGGACTTGTCCACTCAAAGTATAGGCTTGTGGGTCACAAGTTTGTTTTTGTAGGATCTATCCGTTTCGATGCTTTCCTTTATGGTCACGTTTGTAAATAGTGACTGTCATGTTGACTTCGTCAGCTTTGATAGCGTGGAATGTCTCGGTTATTTTAGTTCAACTTGGGTTCTAGTTTAGTATGGTGTTAATCAGGCGGACTTTGGTTGTCAGGTCGAACACCGGAGAGGAAATATTCCGTACAATTAGGATCTTTTTCTGCTTTGGTAGTTCCGTGTTTCGCTGAGATTAAAACCCAATTGAAAGAACTGCATTTAATCTGCTGAAAAGTTACAGTAACTTGTATGAACTGCTACTTTTTTCTCATATTCTCTACCATATTTCTGATGACAGTACTCTACCTACTTTTGTCCTCAAGACTAATGTCCTTTTGAAAGTAATTTGATTTGACGCTGATTCAAGTAGCATCTCAAGGATTCTTGAGTCAAAACTTATATCAAATATGATTCAGTTCAGTAGATACATCCAACAAGTACGAGAGATAACTTAAATTATACATTGCAAGCTCTAGTAACCAGAAATGTCTTTCGTAAGCCGACATCGACCACTTTAGAAATTTTACCGCAAACTGGGTTTTACAACAGTTAGCATTTCTAATCAGCGGTTTTCAAAAATGAGCTACCACCTGCCTTCCTTCCTGAGCAGTGAGAGTTTCGGTTTTCAACCTAATAAAGTAGGTTATTGTCTTCCTAAAGCTAGCCTCCGTGGGAAGGGGGTTTATTTGTCCTGTTTTGGATCAACTTTGGAAAGGACCACTTCACCCTCTTTTTGTAGGCACCTTCTATTTGGAGGACACCCTTACGGAACCACACCATACCTAACATCATTATATTGATATGAATCTCCCGGGTAAACACGGGGAATACTACTTTACACCAAATCTGTATTTCCAAATCATACATCATATCCAAAGTTCATAGAACACAGACTCCCCCCACCACATAGGCAAAATCTCCAGTGGATCCTCTTTCAGGAAGTTAAATTATGCACTGCAAGGTGTTAACGAATTAGAAAACAGCCCTTACGAAATTAGGTTCAACAGAATATGGGTGATTGTAGAGGCCCTTGCTTAACTTTGCACAGCCGGTTAAGGGACAAGAACCAAACTACTCTAAAGTACATAACAACGGCTTTTTGAAAAGTAATCAATGTTGACCATGTTAATGCGTACGAGGAGTAACGTAGGCACTAGAGATTGTTGAATGACCAAGACAGTGTATGATTGTGAATTCCAAACAAAGTGAGGGTTGATCGATTGCGAGGTTCCGCTGTTTATAAAAACATTTCGCTCAGTCACACATCACTCGCGCCCCAACTGCAGACAAACCCAATCGGATGTGGCTTACTTGAAACACTGTTCGTCTGTGTGGATCAATCAACGAATAGACCACACGACCGTTTTCAGCAGCGTCTTGATCGGTGGCATGCACGCGAGCGATCACATGTCCAGGAGGAAGGTCTGCAGTGATGTTCACCTCCTTGTCTTGATCATGAGGGTAGCGCCATATGGGTTTATTGTCATTCTCATCTAGCACAGTCACGGTCGCGTTCAGACTTGTGCACAACGGGGTTTGTGGTGCAGAATCACAAGCCATCAGTTCGAGTGTGTAAGCATTGGTCGTTTCTCGGTCTAGGACCTCCATTGTCTGTATTCGACCATCGGCATCGACTTGAAACAAATCGGGCGCCGGAACACCATTGGCACTTTTCCAAGAGTGACGTAAGCTGTATCGTACCTATAATTGCATATAGTAGAACAAGTAGTCTCTCGTTAGAACGAAATGTCTTTTGGATTTTACCAGTTTCATTGCCTGCATCGTTATCAGATCACTAAGTCGGTTCCAAAATATCAGGTACATGTAGCACACATGCTACCGGATCACTTGAAACAATAAACAACGCTTCGCTCTTCAGTAAACACCTCTGAAGCAGATCAACATGACTAGTTATCCTATCGGTCTATCATGGTTAAAAAATTGCCCAGTCGAAAGTTCTTTGAGAAATTTCCATTTATAACCCCATGAATAAACGCGTCAACTTCAATCTGTAAACAGAACAATGTGTCCATGACAAACTCCGTTACGTTGGATGACCGGTATTTTACTAAATCCGCATCATATTAGCGAAAAAACTGGTTCAAGACATAAGCACAGTAAGCGGCTGGGATGGATGAGAGGTGCTGAGGTTTGGATGCCAACACATAAAACCTCCCGTTTGCTCGACAGCTGCCTTATCGGTTGGGATACCACGGATCTCGTTAAAGGTCATACGACAAAGCGGTCCTTACTCCCCGTCGCGTTAGGTAGTGATCCGTCTCCTCTTCAGAAGTTACGGAACAGACGAAAATCTGGACAAAATTCACTCCCTTGAGCAAATGGGCGGATAGATATCAGGAACGTAGGACGTCTCGTTTGCATAGTGGGTTCTAACAAGCGTTGTACAGATCTTTTAGATATACATAGCTCATACCGCCTAGCCGTTGTTAGCACGGCCATGAAGATGGCCTGTCAGTTCCTGCCACGATCTTTGCTCGTTTCGTCGGCTGTTCCGCCTAGGCACCTCGCCGAAGGCCTTGTCACCCCGGGCAAGCTGCACTTTTAGATGGCGGGCGCTGAAGCATACCGACGTGCCAATCGTGTGGCGCTGTTTCTTCATTGTGCAACCCAGCAAACAAACAAGCCCATTTCGCAGCCCACTGTCGTGTCGCATGCAATCACCAGGCTGACTATGTCATCCAAACAATAAGGTCCCGGAACCATTCGACAGAACATGAATACACTGGTCATGTGGCGATGGTCACGCCAGTGGATCAGACATCGCAAAATAAAGTATGCGCCCTGGAAAGACAGCTGACAAACAATCAAGCTCCAACTACGGATAGTTAGTTAACGAATATTTAAGATACCCTCTTATCACTTTTCCAAGGATCAGTTCATACCGTTTTGGGTTGAACCACAGCCAATCTTTCTGGTGCTAATGACAAAATGGTGTAAGTCGTCTGAATGGCGAGAAAATTTACAGGGATCGGCGGTGGAACGATCCGTTGACGTGTACGATGTTTTGGTGTGTTACGGTGTCTGCAATTTGTATGACTTGTTCGGTGTGATGAGGCGGTAGAAGACCTTCAGTGAGGTGCCGAATCGAAGTGAACAATCATATTTATTTTCGAACCTCTGCAGAACCATGCCAGCCCTTTTCGTATGTGTAGTGAGCGCGAAAAGCTTCCATAAAATTTTTACGAATACCTTATTACGACCGACTGGACAATCCAGAAAAATGGAAATCCCCCGATGCATTTTAGGCTTTGACTCCTTCAAAGAATCTGAAAGGCTCATCCAAACGAGGCTACTCGTCACAAATTTCTAAAAATTAAAAGGAAGATTAAAACGACCATAAAGAGCAGTATGTTCTGAAGACCCTCTATCGGTGATGAGAACCAAACTACGGCGAAATGGGTAATCGTCACCATCAAGGGTTTTGTGGTACTGATTAATGTCGTTGTCTAACAAATGTTCATTCCTGGGATGAAAAATGGAACAAGCAGGCTTGGCAATATATCAAAATACTGGTAGCTAGGCTGCAGTATATTTCCACTTGCCTCCGTGCACGAAGATCGGGAGGGATATGAATTCATCAGGAACGACGTTCGCATACCAGCACGAGCAAGGAAAAATAACGTAAATTAGTGGAACCGTTGTACTCCACTAGAGACACCATCAAAAACACATTGAATTTGCCTCAGTCTAAGGATTAATGAAAACAAGTAAACTGAAAATTTAAAATCTCAAGACTACACAAGAAACCATTGGGGGAAATTTTAGTGGAATCAGGAGAGATGGAATCTAGTGGTTGAATTAATTTGTGCCTCCGTTCAGTAAATTAAAAGACCAAAGTAAATAAACAAGAGATCTTATTAATCGATCAAACGCAGGGCTCACTCGTTATTAGAAATAAAACGAGGAAGCGCAACCAATGTTGACCCACGACTGATAACGAAAACAAGCGAATTTTCAGGCTCGGCGAACAGATCTACAACCACAGAAGTATACTATTCCGCTGCTCCTTCGGCGTTTATTTTCTATGGGTTGCTGGAGAGACTGCGTGCCTTACATTGAAATCCTACTTTGCGTTCTTTAGTTTCACCAAACCGACAGAGCAAACTATGGTAAGTAATTCCCAGAACTGATGTACCAAGTAAGGAATGAACCCCGCTGCTGTGTGCACTCGCTCATATAAAGTTACCCTGAAAATATGGCAATATCAGACTCATTTCACTTCCATAGGTTGATATCAGGCTTGTGACCAGTTTCCACTTTCGAATTTTACTGAATCAATGCGTGCACACATGTCCTCTTCCTTCAGTGAACCTTGTGTTTGAGTGCGCATTTCTTCACAACTCAAACACGGAAAAGAGGATGGGTGTCGACAAATAGTCTCATTTGATACGAATCTTGTTTCGACGGGAGACTAAACCTAATCTGGTTGAATCTCTCGTTTATGATGGTCCGCCTCACCTGAGTGTGCTGCATCAGTACGCCTCATGTTTCAGCTGACACAATATTCGAGATATAGCAATGCGTTATTGTCTAGACGTAACACATAATTTCGCCGAAAAATCCTCGACAGTCCACGATCGACTTTGCTCTTCTTGGAGCTCATCGGGTAGGTGTACTGTCCAATTTTTCGTCAAGCTTATGTGCTACTTGAACCCAAATTATAGGGAATTCGACAAATGCACTCTTTTGCACACGCATTTAGTTTCGAAAGGAGATCTAGCTGAACCTAGCTGAAACTCCTGTTTATGATGGCCCACTTCACCAGATGTCGGCTGATACCACAAATTAACTTCATCTGCCTCCTGATGTGAGATAGCTATACCTAAAGAGCATCCACAACTGAAACAGCGGTTTGTATTAATGTTCAAGGCAGACAAAACGTTTGAACCTCGAATGAACAATGGCGCGCTACACCAACTGTGCAAACACGCACGGCAAAGCTGTTGCCTTTTGATGTGGGACGACTGTGGATGGACAGTGGGAAAAATCATATTTCTGGCAGGCAGCATCGTGCGGCCGGATTTTTGGATACGACAGGGATGAACCTGTCACTGGACACTGCTTAAAAATTGGACTGTTCCGATACCCCGACGATGCCCTTAAATTTCCAATGTATTCTAAAACTGGACACTGTTTCAAAACACACACCTACCGAAGAGTAGTTACCCAGAAAAAATTACTTTGACGTTTTTGTCGTATTACCCTATGTTTGAAACGTTCATTATGTTGGCACTCAAAGCCTTATGGATATCGATAATGTCAGAGAAAGGTAGGAACTAGTCTTCTTTTAAAACTAGTTTCTCGTTCGAAGTGGTCGAAATTCTACGTGTGAATGGTAAATTTCAAATTTGGGTGAGACCATACAAGTGACGAAGCACACTGGTGAGAAATATATTAATTTCTCAAATACAAATTCACAAGTACGCTACTTATAATTTTATGTGATTCTGAAGCATAAAACAACCGGTGACAGTATGAACGCACCTCATTCAAGCCATCCACAACCATAACTCGGTTGAACGACTCTGTTCACCAAACACCTAACATCACTTAGTTGAGTTGAGGTAGGAGAAAATGTAGCTGATATGACCGAACTATCCCGTACCGTATAAGCCATCTTAGTGGGATAAAGTCGGTTGTCGTTTCCTCTGTCTGTTGCTGTCTGCTATCCTATACAGCTGCTGATATTCTCTCTTGACATACGAAAAGCTTAGTGCTGACCTAAAGGTGCGCTTCTGACAAATGTCCCGTACGTTTTGTAGCGTAAATCTGTCCAACGCCTGGTCGTAAAGGACAACACCAGACCGCATGAGCTACCACTCTGAGGGTCAACGAAGCGAATGTGTTAGTTCGGAAACATACAGCGAGCAACCTTGGTACTTCTAAACCGAAGGATGTATTGAAAGGGATAGTAATCCGCAAGTCGCTTTTCCACATCTAATTGTTTTGAAGCTAATGAGCGTTATGTTTTGGTGCCAGAAAGGGATTTGAAGGCCGTAGTCAGCTGAGACTTAGAATAACCAAAACTGATTCATCTCAAGTAGCGATCATGAAAATGGCAGATGTTCCCCGGCTACGTAAAATCCACCTCTACACCAGGGTATCGGTGAATGACTTTCACGCCACCCATATTGTTTATTTGTACCCAAATGTGTACATGAATACCGCAGACATGACGCAGTCTTATCCGTCTATCTACAATCATATTTTCATGATAACCCGATTTCAGCGGTACCAAGATTTCATTTGAGACCAGTGGATTTTATCGCGTAAACTATGTGGCTCGAAACAGATCATGGCAAAAAAGATCATTTTCAAAAGCTGCTGGTTGAGAAGATCTGCAGTGGTCCGGCTTCAGGGGCAACCATAGTTTCTTTAGTAAGTATAAGGATAACGTTTCGGCACAGTGTACTCAGCCCGTGTCCATTGCACTAAGAGTAACATGAGTTACCACAGATACGCAGTGAACACCGTGTTCGATGCTTCCCAAAGTCACTTACCCGTCCATTTTCACCGTCATCCTGGTCTATGGCCACGAGCCGTCCGCTCACTTGTGTGAATCTGGGCTGGTTCTCTGCTACTGAAAACGGACCTTTCTCAATAAAGTGTGGGCGGTTATCATTTTGATCAAGAACGGTTACGAAAACCGTAGCGGACACCGTGTGAGTACGCGCGGATTCCGTGTTGCTGCCCTGTTTCATCGCTCGCATCGAGGGTTTCGAGTTGCTATCGTCTCCACCACACACTGAAGTCGGTGGACCGTCGCTGACACAAACAGTGAACGTTACCCGTTCAGTCTTTTCCCGATCCAACGTGCTTGAAAGTAAGCCAGCCGAGTCGAAGTCGGTTCCAGTATCGCCGATGGTCAGAATCGACCCAGTCAACGGGTCTACGTGGAAGTATTGCTTTCCCTGGGCACTCAGTTCGTAGTGAAGTTTTGCGCTGTGGTCTGGGTCTCTTGCACTGATCTGTCGGTTTGGAAAGAAAAAGTAAATAAAAAGGCATTATGAACCTGCTTTTGACCTTTTCAGAAGTCCATGAGTGCGCAAACGGGCGCGCACTTGTATGGAAAAACAACTTTGGAGAAAAACCAACTCTTTGCGCGAAATGATCGCTTGCCACTGGAAACAGCCTCCATATCTGACGTTCAGAAACCGAAAAATCTCCCGACCGAAAAATCAACTCGAGCCATGGACCTCCCGGTCAGTAAATTCGCGCACTAACCTCTGAGCCATCTCGCCCCCGCGCTTGGGATAGATGCCTGGCTACGTTGAGTATCGGAAAAGCACGCACACAAGATGCCGAGGCCGGCTATTATCAGTTTCACTCTGTGATGTACCTACTTCACCTCAATGGCGGGAAGATACTGATCCAACCAAAAAAAGCCGGTCACCGTCAGTCTAACAACAAGGGAAGAGGTATAATTTTTGCGATTGTAATGTCGCTACAACCCGTCCGTCAAAAAAATTTCGTTACCGTAAATTTCCATATTATCTATTCAAAATCATCGCTGCGCAAACCAACCCTGTTGCGAAGCGCTTTTTGTCGTGCAGCCAGTATAGTCATTGTAAATCTAATTCGTCCTTTTATCTTATGTACCGCTGATGCCGCCGTTCCTATTCATAGCGCTAGTGATAAGTCACAATATAAGAGCAATCTGATGTTTCCCGCACTGGATGTTCAAGCAATTCCTCAACAAACCACAATACATGTTAAGCCAACCGGAAAAGCAACATGAAATGAACATGCTACTGTGCATTGATAATCTGGTGGATTCTGGCGTGCTTGGTTACGAGTATATTGAGCAACCATGCGTGAGAAAACACAGCAGCCGATAGCAGCGCATAATTGGCACCCTAAGGAGTATTTCGAGGTCCAGTGTCACACACACACACACACTGTTAGGTCATTCACAGAATAACCACCACCAAGTGACAAAATTATCGGAGCAAAACGAGATGCACTGGGTAGGAACGGATGCATTGCATAGGACCAAAGTAAGCCCACCTAGACAAGAACACCGGCAATCGGTGACCGCAGAATGTTTAAATTTTGCTGACCAAAACTGATTGAAGCTCATTTCAGTTCACATAACTGAGGTCAGACAGATGGGTATTTTGGAATTGTTGGCGGATTCGAGCAGTGATGCCTTGGGTTGCACCATAATATTATTGTTAGGGAAAGCCTATATCTCGGACTGTGTCCATATACTCCAATGCGACCGACAGGAGGTTTTGGCCTAAAACTATAGTGCAACCGATTCTACCATATTATGATCAGTGATCCGTATGCCGGTACCCCCCCTCCAAATAAAGTCGCGCTATAGAGTTTCATGGTTTAACTACCATTGAATGAACACCGTCCCTCCTACTGTCCACTGTCAACTGAATGGAAGAGATCCGGATACGAATTCGTCCACTTCTACAATCATCCAACAAACTTATCCAGCTGGTTACAGGTTACTGTAATGCCATCCAGCAAGATAGGAGTTCGTTGACCAAGACCTCAGACGGACTCAATTACTCGTTCATAGAGGATAAAACAGATCCGTCCTGCTTGCACCGGTCGGCTGGAGATCAAAGACGTTTGCCTCCAAAAGTACCACTTAAAGACACCGGGGACACCGGACACCGGGAAGCAAAACTCGGACCGTCCCTATGGACTAACCAGAACAGTCTCATCTGGATGTGAGAAGTGGACTGTGGGATCTCAAACGTTCACTGCATCTTGGAGAGATACACAGAAACGTCAGTCAGACAATATTTTCCGAAACTTTCAATCCTCTGACCATAGCTTTGAAAGTCAGGGGTTCTAAGCGAACTAATGGTGGGTTACGATTTTCACACTGCACTCGCAGACTTGTGAAACCAGAAACGTCTTACCAGTGTACGCAAATAAATCAAAATTTCTGAAAGAGCGGGTTTCGCTGTGGATAGGGTGTTCAAAATTCAAGCTTTCGTTACCGTGCATTATGTTCGAGGTCCAATCTAAGCTTCGCATCTCTCAGGTTCTACGGAGAGTTCAGTGGACTACAAATTATCCTATACTACCAAACCATGATATAGGTACAAATCCATTGTACAGGAAATATGGTTTTCGCATTGCAAACACGCAACAGGAAATTTTCAGTGACGTGTATGGGTACCCACGAAAACTGCGTGGTATAAAACCATTGGATTGTAAGGACGTTTTCGACGACAAACTTCCCTTATTGTCACTAGAATTGCACATTCGTTAGTGAAAATCGTAATTGCGTAGTTCACCGCTTGCGGCGTGCAAACAGACAATGAGGTTGACTGAAACCCAGGGACTGTCCTTATTTGATAGGAAGCAAGAAGGCTGCAATCTGCAGCGGGTTGTCAAAGATTTTTCAGTATTTTTATAGGTGGTGTTGCCATGAAAATGATTACTAAACATCTGTTTTGGATCGGCGTTGGTTGAACTAAATGTATCACGACTTCAGGGTCCTGAAAGAGCTGCTGATCCATCAAAGTCAAGATACATAAGCTAACTGCAAAAACTGGTGACTAATTGTGAGTGATAAGTAAATAATATGGGAATAGGACCCTACCTAATTCTCAAGGCGCTAGGAAAACACGCTAGTCACTGAATACTTCCTAGCTGTGGCACCTATTTTTGTCCATTCTTTTCCGAAAAATGAGATATTGTCCAACGGAAACACTAAACTCGTACGAGCAAACAAAATTAACGTCTGAGTTTAACGCCAAAAACTTCATGCAATAAGTAGCCCACTCCCCAATCCCTGTTTAACCGGGATATGAGAAACTGTGGGAGCGTAACCAGGTGGTGTTCAATGAATCAAAAAAGCATTCCAGGATAGACAAGCAGAATCGTTACAATTTTCTTGGGAAGCGAGGCTTTGTAGAGTTGTACGTGAGAAAGCCACAACAGATTGTAGCAAAGCAAACCGGGGCAAACAAAGAGGAACAGCTTTAGCCCAGCGAACACAACAAGCAAAGGTGAACGAATGATTAAATTGGACGTGATTGGAAGACAAGAAAGATCAAAACGAAGTCGGATAGAATGGTTATTATCAAATAAACTGACAGCATAGATAGACTTCAATTGCGGGTTGTACACTGAATTACATAATGCACCTGAATCAAGGTCCTAGAGTGGAATGAAAGATAAGATTTTGGCAGCGTAAAGCCAAAGCAATTCCCCGTGTAGCAAGACATGGTGGGACATCCTGCAAAGACATTTGAATTCAATAGCGTAGTAGCCATACTGGTGGAGAGTTTGGTCTTACACCACTAGATGTCAACGTCTGGTCAAGCAGACAAAACAGTAACAGCAATCGGTACTCATATCGATACGCAGCCAAACGCACATATTCAGCCGCTAGAATGGAGCATCACATAAACGCAATGTTGGACGGACATGACATTCAGACAAAGTATGCGTCATAGCCGGAAGAATTGAAGTTAGGACAGTGACGCTTATCTTATCAACAAGCCGGGGACAGAACACAAGCCTATTTGATTGGAAGGCTCTTAAATAACAGAAAGATTACGTCATCACGTTAGCTTGAAATCTATCTTTTTTGACTGTATATCCTGAACCGGAGACCTTTGAAGATAGCCGATGGAGGTTCGTTATCTCCCAACAAACTGGCACGATTTGTAGCGTTACGGTAGGGGGGTGTTAGGATGACCAGATGACAGCAGCTGGACGTCGTTACATAGGTTGGCATTGTATTCATTGAAACATACTCAAATTTCCGAATGAGACAGCTGGTTAATGCAAACAATTCCATTAGTTTCTCACAGATGGCTGTTGAAAACGACCACAGACCGACACAGGACGTGAGAAACCCTTATCGTTAAATCATCCCTCAAGAGCGGAAACATTCCCAACGAAGAGACATTTTTGTAGCCCTTAAAGTTGATTCCCGACTAGAAAAAAGTTATGTATTACACAAATGAACAGATAAGCTCGGGATGTTTGCATTCTTCTGTACATCAACTTGGGCAAACGGAAGGTTGAAAAAATGGTTAGATTGCCACGGTACGTCCATCAGTGTGACTGAGGGCACAGCACAAGATGACATCCGGCAAGGATGCAGACGACTTTTTACATGCACAACCAACCATAGGTTTAGTGGAATAGGTTTGAGGTTAGGCAACACAATCCCCCACGAAAACGGTCCACAGCTTGACGGGTATCTGTCTTGCAACACCACAGGGAAAGAACTGTGTGGTCTAGCTACGGCAGAGAATAAACCCAGGAAACGCAAAACCTTTGCCTTATTGTAAAAACTTGTCAGGCAGCGTGTCGTCTCCGGAGCGACAGAAATAATTCGTGTGTGAAGTAAATGAGACAAAAAGGTGTTACAAGACAATCGGAGTTGCAGGGAAAGAAAACGCAAATATTTTAGACACCAAGTCAGAGAATAACCACTCAGATCGGGACGCCAGTATTCCACGCCTATGCACATCGTACAAAAGATTGAATCTATAGGTTCAGGGCAGGTGAGCGAGTAAACCTTATGAGTAGGGTTTCGTCAAGGAAATAAACTTTTTACAGTCGGTAAACTTACTCCTAATGAGGTTTACATGATGCAACGAGCAGCGTTATAATCACTGTGTACATTTTGCATTGGTTTTGCTTTACTTAGCATCGGCTCGTGCAGTTTTTCATCTTATCTATTTACAGAAATTGTCGGAAAGTCAGTCTTTCAGGAACTAACTAATCCGCGAATTTGGTAAGGTTTCTAGCGAACCGATTTCTCCGTATCTAAGTTCTACACAACATGACATTCCAGAGGCGGCGCTCATAGACTGTACATGTACAAGACCCTTTCGACCAGAAATCTATCATGGCAACTCCCATACACATGTTCACTCTCTCCCTAGCTGGCTCACTATCGTTATTGGTACCTTGCGCACAGGACGACTCACGCTACAGTAGGTCGAACACCTCTAAAATTAACCTCTAAATTTTCCAG